GGGGGGGGGGGGGGGGGGGGGGGGGGGGGTGCTATTTTTCATGATAAAGCAAAAAATTATTACAGACAAAATGAGATACAGTAATTTGAGTAATAACTAATAACATGATGATAAGCGAACTGTGAGCAACAATTACAATTCAAATACAGTAGTCAAGCAAGACTTTGCAGTAGTGAAGCAAGTTGATGGGCGGACGGCACACATGACCGACACAACTCGGCACCAGAGCTGGCAGAGCACCGCCCCCCCCCCCCTACCAGATCATGCTGGATCCTTCCCTGATAATAACTGCCCCATAATACCTGTAGTATTTATTTCCTAATCTATCAATAATAGCCTTGAGGTCCATAGGATACGCGACCACACTCCAGTAGTCTGGGTACGATCTTACATCTACCGGATAAGCAAATGGGCCTGCGAACGGGAGCTCCGATATAAGGCTCAGCCCGCGAGTTAGTCTTTCGACAGCAGTGTCGTATGACTCGTCAGGCCATTCGTTTTCCTGCGGTGTGTATTTTACCAAAGCGTCGTGTTCTTCCTCCGTGATAGGAATGTTGTTGGAATCTACTCCTGATGCGTCAGCCTCCGTGTCTTCAGAAGTACCTGACATTGAGATGAAAAGAATCACCGTAAATCATTTATTATGGGACCGGTCATTACAGTATTTATAGTGGGGGGTGGCACAGAAGAGAAAAGGGTTGGGTAAACAAAATTTTGAGTGAGTAAAAGGTTGGGTAAATGAAAAACAAAACAACTCAAGTGTTGGGTAATAAAAATTTATTGTCATTTCCAAAGCATGATTCGCTAAAAAATATTGAAGACTAAAAAGCAATGTCAACAGTCATATGTCAATACAAAATGTAAATCAGAGTCACTATCTTGATCATTTTCCGATTTGTCAGGAGGCAAATGGTGTCTCTGAAGAAAATGCATGTGCAGACAACATGAAACTTTAGACTGCAGAAAACTGCACAAGCAGTTATTGAATTCGTCTCACAGCAATAGTAAAAGACGTGTAATAATAATCGTCTTTATTCATGAATAATTAAATTACACGTTAGCCAAAGTCAGAGGCTTATATGGCTATATAGATGGACAGCCAAATTTCCTGATTACTGATTACAGTTATAGTGATAATTAGAAGAGAAGCTGAACAATTATTAAATACAAAACACTGGGTACAAAATATCAAAGTGCAAAATGACAATAAAACAACAAAGAATATCAGTTGTTGGTTAATATAGTTAATAAGCTAGAGACAAGTCGTAATCCTTCAAAATACGCTTATAATTAAAATATTTTAGCGAATTACGAAGAGTATACGGAATTGAGTTCCAAATTTTTGGTCCTTGGGATCCGATTGAAAATGATAATTTATTAAATGTGAAATGAAGTGTGACAGCTGAATGGTATTATTTAATTGATATTTGAGGTTGGGTAAAATGTTGTTTTGACTTTTTAATGGTAGGATCAGCAAAATTTTTACCAAGAAAAACATTTCTCTTCGTTGCCGTCCCTCGCCATAAATAATGATCGGTGACCCTAATTACAGATATAGTAGCGATCATGGATATACTGAGACACTGATAATAACTAAACAAATTATATAACAAACATACCGTCAGGAATAGGCTCAAGATCCCAAGGACTCATTCGTTCCACTTCACCCGTGTCCCAGCTAAAAACACGATAAATAAACATTTCAACAATACAGTATAGCAAACCAAAGATCGTAGATTCGACTCCCACCTGGGTCAAACAATCTTTTCGGCTGAGAGCATATCAGAGTAGCAGATAAAAATCATAACATTTTCACCAGAGTTCTAACACTACAATTCATATTTTTTTTTTTAATAGCAAGGAAAATCTGTCAAAATTCGTCATTTGTATCGCAAAAATCTCACATCTTGTAGCAAGTCTGCCAACAAGCCGTCAACAAGTTGTGTTAGCAGCGCTTGTCCCAAGTTTGAAACAACTTATCAACAGTTGCAACAACCTTGCTGACATTATAAGCAAGGTTGTTCCAACAAGCCCGATACAGTCATGATATAACAATATTGTTACAACCTTGTGTCATCAACCTTGTAACATTCTTGTTATATCATGACTGTATCAGACTTGTTAGAACCTCGCAACAAGTCTGATAATGCCATAACAGCCAGTTCCAAACTTGTTACAACAACTGGGAACAAGCAGTGCGAACACAACTTGTCGACAGCTTGTGAACAGACTTGTAACAACTTGTGCATTTTTACATCTGTACTTGAAGAATTCAAGAAGGTCGCTTTGAGAAATTGTGAGCTGAATATCTGTTAAATAGCCTTCGACAAGTATAGTGTATATACCAAGAATCAATTTAGCGTTGCTCGACAATTTTTTGTATGTATATACCGTCAAAGGTCGAGAGTTGTTATAAATATTTACAGTCAGCGAACGTTTCTAGAATATGCGAGCTGAATGTTGAGAAAACAATCGAGAAGGACCTACCCAACAACAAAACACTGAAAATGACTGTCAGGAAATTCGTCTTCGTATGGACTAACTTCAGTGAGTACACCTGACCACCAGTAATCGTCAATAACACTACGAAATCTGCTGCCTGTGGAGAAATTATGTGACCATTATAAATTATGTCACTACTATAAGTGGATGTGTGTGCATGCTCCCTTAGAAAAGTTTGAAATTCAGGTGTCTCAGATTGGTTAAAAATTCATTTGCCATACAACATTTGTTACATTATTCTATTGTCTGTACACTTATACACTATTGCACTATCACGATGGACGCACTTATAATAGCATCTCTGAGGTCATACTGTACCAACAGTATAGGTAAATTTAAAGGTGATGTAAAGTCCGTAATGTAAACAAACGCTTTGTTTACATTTTGAACTCAGTGCTACAGTTGTAAAATATGATTAGATATATATTATACTGAATTTTTAACACTCTTCCGGTTCGCTATGCTTGTAAATGAATGCAGACTAGAGATTCAATTCCAGAATGTTCGGAAGGTGCGAAATATTAACAACATTCCAAAGGTTGCTCCCCCACTGATGGAATGTGTTGATGCGCAGAATATATGCGCAGAACGGACTTTACAGCATCTTTAAACATTCTATTGGTTAGAATTTTTTATCTGAACTTCCCCTTTTATCTAAATTTTTACAATTATCTTTTTTTTCTTTGTTGGGGAAATATTTTCTGGGAACCTCAAAAAATTTCTGGGCGTGGTTCAACACCCCCCGTCCGGTTCGGTCATTTCGAGATTAATTTTCAGCCAAAGATTTGACTTCATTTGCTGAAAAATAACAAGCAAGGGAATAACTTATACCTTAGCAAGATTAACGAAAAAAACTAAACGTCCTTACCAGGTCTCCAATCGCGTTGCAATGACTGATCATAAACTTGCTTGAGAATAAAGAAATCAACAACATTCTGCATGTCGTGGTATCTGCAAATATGATCAGTTTTATTAATCAGTTACTCGGAGTGGCTCCACATGATTATAAGATCAACTAATACTTATAAGCAACTACACTCGAACCGCCTTCACCGCGTAGCTAAGTTGGACTAGCAAAGCAAAGGTCGATTCCCACCAGGGTCAGAGAAATACGTATACCGAAATCCGGCGTACTTTACTGTTCAGTCAAAGA